AAATTATTTACTTACTACAACACACTGCATAAATAGTTTATGACAAAAACTTAAAATATACGAAATAAACTAATATATACTACAATAATAACTAAACGTTTATTAAGGGATTAATTACAAGCTAATAATAAAAATATTTTTAATGCGAAATTTGAGCTTGATTTTTTTTGATAATTTCATTTATATTTGGTCGTAAAAATGACAATGCTTCTCTCATATCGTCTTCTACATTTAACAATCTTGATCTTTTTTTTTAGTTTTAATGTTGGCTAATGCTGAAAATCCGAATTCACGCAAATAAGATGTGGAAAATTGTAATAATATTATTAAAGCTTTTTTTGTTTACAAATTTTACAAATTTATAAATTGACACTACATGCAAATAAATTAATATTAAACCGAATCACATACATTTGCCAATTTTAACGAAAAAACAGGTGCAGTAACTACTATGCAACACCTTGTGAATCCCAACTATCACTAAAACAACACGTTTTGGACGCAGAAGTGGCAAATGTGCGCCGACTTGAGACATATTCCTATTGCTATGCACGCCGCTTCATCATAATTTGAAGAAAAAACGCGCTGCAAAGCAAATAATAAAATAATTTATTTTTTGTGGATTTAAATATATATTCATGTTAAAAAAAAATTCTTTTTAAATGATATAATTTAATAATATTAACATTATTATATATTTGCAAAATTTGGCGGCACACTTTTGAAATTTGGCGGCACACAAAAGTGCCGTGGCACAGTGGTTGAGAATCACTGATCTAGACTTTATGCAACAACTTTTTTGGTTGGTTAATCCAAACGCTTTTTTAAACGGACCTTATACTTAAAAAAGCAGTAGGTACACTTTTCGTTGTTGAAGTAAGTGCACGTTGTGTTGAATGTTAATTAATTACGAAAGTTCAATTGTAGACGTAAATAAATTGCAACTTAATTAATGACTTTTGTTTATTCCTAAATAAACAATGTAAATAAGTTTTGTTATGAGTTGATGGTGTGTATATAAAACATTCTCAATATTATTGAACTTCATTAGTTTTAAGACTGTGTAAATAAAATGTCGATGAACGGTAATAGTATTGTGATCTTGTATTATACATAAAAACCTTCCTTTTGAATCACCCTATCTATGAAAAAAACCGCATCTAAATCCGTTGCGTAGTTTTAAAGATTTAAGCATCATCATCATCATCATCATCAGCCCATTTACGTCCTCACTACAGGGGCTCAAGCCTTCCTTATGGATAGTTAAGGAGGATGGGCCATAACCCTCCACGCTGGCCCAATGCGGATTGGAGGGTATTAACGACTGCAAATACAGCCGGGACCAACGGTTTAACGTGCCTTCCGAAGCACGTAGTAGTTAGAGATCATATTTTTTTTGGTCACCTATCCCGTGCCCGACCCTTGCGAAAGTTGTTTAACGACTACGATCGCGGGCCGCGGCGCTTATCCACTACGCCACCTTGCTACATAGTGATAACACCAAACGATTTCCAAACGTCAATTGAAAAAAAAACGTTTAAGCAATAAGTAGTTTTTAAAAACGCTTATTAAAAATCGTACAACGTAACGACGCTTAAAAATTTTAAGCAGTTATTTCTATCTCTAATTGTCACGGTTCATATAATTCAGCCTGGTGGTAAGCAGACAGCCAGCCAAGTCTTAGAAATAGGGCTGTCGTTTCTTCTTTGGGCACGGAACCCTAAAAATTAAAGATGCTGCCAAAAAAAGTCACTATTACTTAACCGATTTTTCCAAAATACACATGTGCAATTAATCTTTTCTTGGGTCCGTACATCTATAGCAAAATTAACAAAATACTTAACATTTATAGCCTTAATAGGTTTGATTGTAAAATTAAAGTTACAAATTGGTTGTTAGAACAAACATACGAGGATATGAATTAGTAATTAAAACTATTGGGTGATATGCAGTGGTCGGAATAAGGTAGAGTTATTCATGTACTTACACTGATTTCATACAGCGAAAGAAGAAAGTGGATATGCCTCAAATCCCGAGATTAATTTTAAAGAGCAGAAAAAATCCCGTGATTTTTTAAATAAAAAGTTATTTACTTTTACACAATTTAAACTACTGCACGCACGACGTTGCCAAACTTACACCAATGACATCTTACATCAATTTGTATTGTAAATTAATGTAAACTAATAAAAATTTTATGTTAATTATCTTTGTTTTATTTGTCTATCTCTGACGTTGTTATTATTGTTTAGTTGTAAGATTGTTGGCCACACGGGATTGTCCATTAGAAATCCCGGGAAGGTCCACATTAATATCAACATTTCGATGCAAGTAAATAAATAACTCTACCTAATTCCGACCTCTGGTGATATGTCATAGTATATAATCTTGGATTTTGTTTCAGATTTCTGAGTTTAGATATCATTGCGAATGTCCACATTTTCCTCAACCCACATTAAATTTATCTTATTTAAATTTATTTATTTATCTACACAATTTAATGTGTTACCAATTTTAACATAACTTAAAAATACACCCTCTCGACACTCATACATGCATTTCTCACATTACACACAGAGAGGACTTCTTTTCTTTTATATATTTTAGTTTCATTTATTTTCAATATTGCTTTAAATGATTGGTTTGTTACAGTGAAGTTTATTGTTGCTAAAATGCTATATTTAAATAAAACATAACATATATGTAATGTAATACATTGATTAATGTCCGAGGTTGGAGGCGCCATTTACCGATGTCTCAGGTCTACAACCTAGTTCGGTGATGGATGCTACCTGTAAGCAAGGTGTATTTTAAATAATAACTATATAAATATATTTTTGATAAACTTTGTATGTAACTCCGATAATTTATGATCAAATAAATATTATTATTATGTTGTTATTGTGATCTCTCAGCTCGAAGCTGGCCAGTTCCATGTAATAGGTATTATTATTATTATTGTTGTTTATATTTATAATCTACTCTTCCCGACCCCTCGACGTTTCGAGGGGTGGGAGGATTCCCCCCGGCAGAGGAGGCCAGACGGCCGGGGGTCAGGGCGACAAAGAGAGAAAACGGCGGACGATATTTGCGTTATCGAGCAAGATCGCCCGCTGGAGCCTCGCAATCATTGGTCCGTCACGGAGTCCCAACCTCTTCAGATGGTCGTGAAGAGAAGTCGGGACTAGGCTATTCGTTGACACTACGACTGGGATGGTCTCAGTGAATGACACTCGCCACATATCGGTAACCTCGTGCGCCAGGTTCAGATATTTAAGTTTTTTATCTGATTCGGCTTTCACGAGGTTTTCATCGAATAGGACGGTGACATCCACTAAGAACACCCGAGAGGCTTGTTCGCAGGAACAGTCCTGTCCGTAATGACGGACCGGTCCCAGTACAATCGAGCGCGGTCGTTTTCAAGAACTTGCTCCGGCACATACTTATAGTACGGCACCTTTTCACCTATGAGGCCGTATTTAAAAGGCTAGCTCGAGATGGAGTATTTTGACTGCTTGGTCATATCTTTGCAAATACTCGGTATTAGCCAGTACAGGACAACCGGAAGTAATATGCCTGAGTGACTTACCGGGCTGGTGACAGGCTCTACAAACGTCCTCTGTCCCATCCTTCAGGATATACTTCCGGTAGTTTCGGGTCATAATGACCTGGTCCTGTATTGCACAGACAAAACCTTCGGTTTCCCCAAAGAGGTCCCCGAAGCGCAGCCAATGCACGGAGGCTCTCGGATCCACGTGACGCTCGTGTAGCGCCTTGTAGAACCTACCGTGCAACTCCTTCTCCCTCCAAACGGCCTCTCGGTCAGTGGTGCTAAGTACTGCTGGTTCTCGCCATTGCTCGGTGGCCAAAGAAAGAGGGGTTAGTCCTACATCACATGCTTTGACATCTCTATGCAACTCACTGGATTCCGATTTCGCCAGGAAGTAATTACGGAGACTGTGTATCTCGCGGTTGTGAAGGGTTTTCGCACTGAGCAGCCCACGACTGCCGCTCTTCCTCGGGATATACAGCCTCATCACTGACGATCTCGGGTGGTGACTGACTGACTTATTGACTTATTATTATTATTATCTCTCATTCTGACAAAAAAAAAACAGAATGGCAACACCTTGGTCAGAACGCTTAGTTGGACGTCGCAGACGTCACTATTCACCTACATGAATTGTAACATCGAGATGTTAGCCGTTAACACCGGGGGGCTCGGCTCATCGGATTGAAATACAGCTGACACCCTGATGGGGAACGATCTGCCAGAGCGGACGGGGGTTGACCTGAGAGGTCGAGTATGGAGGGCAAGGAGGGGAGCTATCATGTATCACCAGAAGGGTGCTACGGTTTTCTTTCAAGTTTAAAAGTAGATTAATTTTCAAAACTCAATAAACAACTCGTATTCTATTTGTAATTTTTCGTATTTGTATTAATATCTAAGTTTCGAATTTTTCAAATTCAGTTCTATAATATGTTAGTTAAAATGAACGAAAAAACTGTCTTTGGTCCATTCGTTTCCTGCAAAAATCAACTTTCGCTAGGGTCGCCATCTAGTGGAGGTGCTTTTTAGTGCGTTTTTTTTTTAACACTTTCTCATTCCCATTAAAAGTTCCTCGTCCAAAAAATATTAAATGTATTTTGAGTATGGAGAAACCCAGCCCATAAAAAATTTTATCTAAATTCCTAGCAATCAATAGTAGTCTTAATTTATAAATATATATTTTTTTCTATATACATTCTATTTTTATTATCTTTAACAATGTAATCGGATAGACGCGCTCAGAATTTTTTTCATTATTTTATCTATTACTCCAAAATTAAAAAAATACATAGTTTATTATTGTTTCACTAATACATAGTTTATTATTGCCAGATCATGAAGTGATGTAAAGACACCAAACCTGACATAGGACATCGGAATTGTGTAAACGCAAATAGACCATGCATTAAAAAAGAAGGAGAACGTTAGTCTTTGTTTGTGATGAAAACTTTTCAAAAAGTTACGCAAATTCATGCCCGTGGTTGCAAAAATATTGAAATCAATATTTATATGGTATGAAGTTGTTGGTTAGCAAAGAAAAGTGTTTAATGGAATAACCAATTGAATCTCTAAATTCATTAATTCGTCTCGATAATACTTCGTCAACATGCATGAAATTAACAGTTTTGTGTTTTTTGATATCGAAACAACAGGGCTTCCGTGTCAAGAAAGAAACAAAACTAAGATAACAGAGTTAAGTTTTGTAGTTGCTTCTAGACAAGACATTATGTTAACGAGTTATGGAGAGTTGCCAACTGTTAGTAAATTATCTCTTGTTTTTAATCCTATGAAGTCTATACATCCAGAAGCAGTCAAAATGACTGGTCTTTCTAATGATAAACTTAAAAATGCACCTCTTTTTAAACAAAAAATAAAAACAATATTATCATTCTTGCAAGAATTAACAAGGCCAATATGCTTGGTGGCCCATAATGGTAATAAATTTGATTATAAAATACTCTTAACAGAATTCAATGATGCCAATGCATCATTACCAAGTGATTTGCTGTGTGTCGACTCATTGGTTGGATTTCGTTATATTTTAAAAGATAGAAATATTCACATTATTACACAACCTATGCATGTGCATGCACAGAAAAAAGAGCCAGATCATGAAGTGATGACAGATGATGAAGATGACTGGCCAGACCTAAATGTAACTACAGAAGATTGGCAAGATATAGATAATATTTGTGAGAGTTTATCCGACGTATCTTGTGAAGATATAGCAGAGGTCCCGAACAAAGTATTTAAGAAAAAAGGGAATAATGCCATACGTAATGTTTTTAATAAACAAAAGAGGTGCAATTCTAATGGATATTCACTTGTAACTTTATATAAGCAATTTTTTGCAAAAGAAGCTATTAACAGTCATAGAGCAGAAGGAGACTGTTTGATGCTCCTTCAATGTGTGGTGGCTACGAAGGAAGTTTTTGTTCCTTGGGCTGATAGTGCATGTAAAAAGGTTAAGGAAATGAAACCTCTCATTCGTTATTAACATGCAGCCTAGATAGTTTCTATATTTGTTTGAAAATTATGTTAATTTTTATAAGTATTTAAATTGCTCTTTAGACTATAGATTTAAGAATCATGCTTATGCTATTTGATATATATTTTTATAATATTTTTATGTTCCTTTACTTAAAGTCTAATGTTTTATAAAACATTAACTACCTAATTAAAATAATTTTCATTTACAATAAACAGCCCCATAATGTCTTCACTATCGGTATCGCACAGTTATATTGACTGTCTCATACAGAAGTTGATTTAGAAATACAGATTTGACAGTGAAGGCGCTTGTGCACTACACTGAATTTTCATGTCCGGCGGTCCGATTTTTTCCGGCCTTATATGTCAGGCCATATGTAGGTAATGCTAGCCTGTGCCAGGAATATTTTTCCTGTCTTGTACGTCTTCGCACGTACAGTAATAGAGCAAGCAATTACCAACGTTTCAAAAATCTCATCGTGCCTATTGTAAGTGACGTGTAGCTTCACAGAGAGCTACCCTAAAATGTGCCGCTCCGATCCGGAAAAAAACGGACATGTGCACAAGCTACTCATCCGAGTTTTTTCATGTCATTCGAGACCGGAAAAAGTCGGCCCACCGGCCCTGAAAATTCATTGTAGTGCCAAGCGCCCTGACTCCCCGCGGCCTCTGCCAACACGACCGGTCCATCGCTCTCTCACTCAGTTTTCGAAACAGTTCATTCAATCTCGACGGTAGCTCGGACCTTCGGCGAAACCTTCGGCTTCGGCCTAGTTTTGGGCCGAAGCCGAATGTTTCGCCGAAGATGGTTTTTTGGCCGAAGGTGCCCGATGCCGAAGCCGAAGCCGAAGCTTCGGTCGGACACGATTTATTTATGACAATGATACTGCTTGTTAGTTTGGTTTGTATCACTGAGAGTGATTTGATGTTAATATCACATAAATACTGATTTGTTTGAATTATGTAATTTTTGTTGTCTTGATGACGTTGTTTTCTTGGCTTTATGTAGCTATTTTAAATAAGAAAACAGCCAGGTGTTTATTTGCTTCAAAATTTCGAATATTTTGATAATTTTTATAGATAGCCGCTTATTGCGCAAAAATATCGATATTTTTTTCCCATTTGCCCATCCCTACTGCCCCTCTAGCAAAAGTTGATTTTTGCAGGAAACGAATGGACCTAAGATAGTCATTTCCGTTCCTTTTAACTAAATTATTAAATAATTAAAATTTGCAAAGGTCGAAACTAGATACCAATACAAATACGAACTAATACAAATTAAATATGATTTGTTTATTGTGTTTCGAAAATTAATTTACTGTTATACATGAAGAAAACTGGACGACATTTAGTTTGACTTTGGTAACTAATGTTTCTTTTTTAAATTTACTCCCTTATTGTTTTTTTACTCCATCCTTTGATTTGACCAATGAGAAAAATAATACCTATAAAGGGAAGTTTGACGTATACCACCTAGGTATTGATACTTTTACTCGATACCGTATCGGTTACGAGGTATTGATTAGGTATCAATCGGTAATGAATAAAAAGTAGCAATACTTACTCGAATCGAATAGTTTTAAAATGCCTCACCAATGTCGTCATTTTTATAGTATATTTGATACGATTGATAACCAATGGCAATACTCTGTTTATGGAAGAAAGAGAAGCAGGGCCAGGCATAAAAAGTGATGCATTCAAAATTATGTTGGTAGTGATCTCTGTAGATAGATTTATAACTACATAAATTAGTGATAGAGGTAAGCAATGCTTCGTCATACAACAGGGACGCCACACCTTTATGACTGTTGCATGAGACAGACTTTAGACACCTTACTATACAGAGTAGTCATATGCACAAGAGTTTTTGATTTTTCCTCAGTGATAGCGTTGTGTCACTCACTCTTTTTTAACGAGGATGAGTGAGGACCTCATTTTCCCTCGTGCGGGGCTCGCGAATTACCCCTCATTTGAAGTGAGGAAAGGTAATGTTACAGTAGTAGTGAATGAGTACGTAGCGAGGCGCGCGCAACGTTGCCGTTTGGTACAAAATGAGGGAGGGAGACGGTAATGCTAAACAAAACATATTTTGTCTTTACATTCTAAGAAATAAACTTTATAATATTATTATTTAACTGAATGACCACAACACGCAACTTATTTTTAATAGGTTAAGTGTTCCTTTTTTAAATCTATTAATCATTTATATTTCGAATCAAATAATTATAATTAATTAATCGATTTTAAAAAAGGAACAACGGATTATAAATATATTTCTAAATAAAACCGACACATTTTTATTAACTTTGGTTTTTACTACTAATTAAAATCATTTATCTATAAAAAAATAAATAGGTATTTGCGATGAAATACATAAACAAACCTTATTCGTTAAACTTAACCCGTTCCCTCAATCTTGAATATATTGAGTAAGTATCGAGTCGCCTTTTCATTTTAAACAACTCGTTATTCTGTTGCGTGAGGTGTAATATCTGTGCTCGCGCCTCGTGCTTAAAGCCTCAAAAAGTGAGGAGCTAAATGAGGTGGCTCAAAATTGAAAAACGAATACTCCCTCATTTTGTCGAAATGAGGACCTCAAGCGAGGCAACTCGCGAGTGAGGGGCTCATCACTAAGTGAGTAACCGACCAAGTTCTGATACAAATACTTACTTCACGATACTACTTTTTATACCAAAGTATTTGGCACCGAAAGAAAAGTTAGAGTAAAGCCTAGTTCGCATTAAGCTAGTATTTTAGTCTAGTAGCGAGTAGTTTAGTAGCAAAAATACTACTGCCCAAAAATCGTTCGCACATTCTTCGAGTACAGTTCACAAGTGAGTTATGTTTTGCAAGATGAACAGCTTACAACGCAATAAAGTAAATAAACTGATTAAGTTAATTATAACGGCTATTTTAGAAGAGGTGGATGAGGAAATTTCTTTTCACCAAATCCTGGTATATTCATTTTATTTTCTAAATCCAATTATGCGGATTGTTTATTTTTATAATGCGGGGACTTAATATTCCACAAGCATTAATTTTCCAAATATTTGGAAACTAATTTTAAAGTTACTTCTTCGCTCCAGCGAAACGACATTTTTAGGCAACTATACTCCATTCATTATAGCATTAGACAGAAGTTAAATAAGGTTCTTTTTATAGTATACTTTGTGACAAAATATCAATAATCATGTTATTTTTAAATCTGATGGCTAATTTGCTACATATCCACTTAAATACCAGCTGCTATACTTAACCGTTGTCGTTTAAGCTATATATTAAACAAATTTATGAGTATTTGACTATCTTAAATGATTTAATAACTAGTACAATAAAAAGTGTTTATCTTAAAGAACCTAAAATTTAAAACGTTGCCTAATCCCTTCAAACGTTTCGGCAGTACAACTTTTTAATTTTGTGAGACTGTAATGTATTCATAATTGTAAAAATATATAATCTGGGATTGTCATCGATTGTTTTCCGTGATTAAGTTGTTATTGTTTTATTTTTGTTGTTAAGTTTTGTTAAATATGGACGATGCCGGTGCAGGCCCGAGTGGCCCTCATACCTACCTTCAACCTTTGACATTTCAGGAAAATTTTCCAATGTCTTCATCAATAGTCTAATGTCTGAATAAATGTTATAAAAGTAATAATACTCGTAAAAAAATAATTTTCTGTACCTTTCTTTCCTGGCCATAGATATAACTAAATTCTATTCTAATTATATACACTTTGAAAAAGAATTTATCAAAACAACAGATAGTTAGTTTTAGTTCCATGTTGGCTTAGGATTAAAAGATGAATTTACTCTAAAGCCAACATGGAAAACTAAATTAAAAATTAAAAGAAAATTCTGGCGTCAACTCAACCCCGAGGTCTCGTAAAAAATTATCAATTGCCCAGCTCTTTTAGACTGCCTAACATTCAAAGTTTCAACAAAACTCTAATATTTAGTTTTTAAATTTATCTTGAAAATAAAATGTTCTGCACTGCTGCTTCTATGGCCCTCTTTTTTCTAATGTTATAATAAATGGAGTATAATGAACTCGACTAATTTGACAGGTTCGGACTCGTTTAGTCGATATTCGGTAAGCGCAGCCATGTGGTGGGAGGTACTACTTGCCCGAAAAATTAGAATAAAATGGATCGACTCGACTAAATTACTTACTAAGCTACTAGACTAAATTTTTGTTGTTCAGACACGTTTTGCTACTAGACTAAAATACTAGCTTAATGCGAACTAGGCTAAAGTACTTGTATTTACTCGTATCGGGCATCCCTAGTTTTGCGAAAACCACAAACTTAATCTGTGAATTTTGTGTACGTAAACTACGTAATGCCATAGTCTGCGCGTAAGGCTAACGAAAACCTATCACTTGTTGTGCTTTTATTCTTTGCTTCTTTGATTTTCATTTAATTAGGTATTTCATTAAACTCTCCCACATTTTTAGGCAGAAAATAAAATGACTTCGAAAATTGATCAAAAAGCTTATTTGCAAAAATATCTTAGTGGTACTAGTCGTTCTGCAGTTGATAAAAAGAAAAAGAAGAAAAAGGTTACCAAAGGCAAAGGGTTAGTATGTTATTCAATAAGATAATATTTCTTCCCGTCAGATAACATCTACTTTAAATATTTACATAAAACATCCGGAACTTGAAAAATAATCTCGCTTTTGTGATAAAGTTTTTGGTCTGAAAACGTTTTGAATCTACAGTTTATGACTTTGTTCATATTCGACTCTATATATAACATAATTTTCTCATGATCATGCTATGATAGCTTCTAAAGTGTGGAAAATGGTAAATGTAAACATACATCCCCGTCGCACATATAGCGTCCTCATTTTCTATTTTGAAGACAGTTAGAAAAGGACTGAATGTTGAGATGACTGATGGCAGCGTGAAAAGTATGGATGATGAATGTATAGCAAACTTCAAGGCAGAGGGTAGTATATGCAAAAATAAGTTATTTTTTTGTTTTTATAACACCAATCTTATCTATTTTATCTAATTGTATCAACTAACAAACATTATTATTTTAACGTAAACAGCAATTTATAAACATGAGACATGAAAGTCTCCTAAAAAGCAAGGGTATTGCTTACACACCCCTATGGTTTGAAGCCTACAATATGATAAATTTTTGTTTGTTTGTCCGTCAGGTAGAGTGTAAAAAATATTAAACACATATTTTTTTCATAATCATAAAATTACGGCGTACTAAACTGACACATAGCGAGCCCCCACTCCTCAACTTTAATGCCTGTTATCTAAGCTATTTCTTGTTAAATTGAAGTAAAAACAAAAATCGTGTCTAATATTTTTATATTATCTGACTGACGGACTAAATAGAATTGCATTTTTTTACTCAGTCGACATCCCAATTATGTTGTACCTATCCCAAAAAAAAATATTGGGAAAAGGGGAGCAAATAATGATAGCTTTTAAAGATGTATGACCTATTATTGTGATCACATCACTCTTTATGATCACATGATAGTCAACATAAAGTGTGCAAGCGCAAACTGAAAGCAACTATTATGGCTGACTTTTTGTTTTTTTTTTTTTTGTTTTCATACATAATAAAGTTATGTTTGCCTAAAAATTCTTTAATAATGATGTCATTAATTAAGAAGTAATGGTAGCTGTGGTGTTAAAATGTTTACATATCGTAGAAATTAATCACCATATTTATGTCTTGGAGAATAGATTTCTAGTTAGCTTTATGCAGTCATAATCATTAACATTTAATTTTGTGTATTCAAGATGAACAATGTTTTTAGGTTCAAAATAATAGATGATGATATTGATTTAACTAAACTACGACCTTTAGATTGTGATGATTTGGACATACTGGACCAAGGAGAGGATGGCCCTCAAATTGTTGGTATAATTGATGAGAGACCTGAGGATATTCAGAAACTCGAACAATTTAAAACTAGTTCAAAATGGAGAATAGTAAATCAGGTAAGTTGATGAAATATTTAATATTTATACATTTTTTCCAAGATTCCAAGATGAGTAGCTAATGCATTATGGAGTACCTGGAACAATACCCAAATCTGAGACTTGTTAGAAAAGTTAATCTTCTACACTGACCTAGGAATCGAGGCTGGGACCTCAGAGATGGTGACACTTTAAAACTGGCATTCAAGCAAATGAGAATGAGGTTTATTAAACAACATCACCTTATATTGGTCAGATACCAAACTGAGTAGCTAAGTCCTGGCATTATGAGAATCTGAAACAACAAAGAAAGCAAATTACCCAGTCCTGAATTGTAATAGAAATATTGATTATCCTCATTGACCACACCAGAAATCAAACCTGTAATTAAGCAATGGCAATACCATGAAAGTGATAAGTCAATTTATCAAAGAGGTATTATTTTGATATTGTTGTAATTTATATAGCAATTTAGAGTTTTTTTTTTACCTTGTTCTAGGATGATGGTTTTAACAGCAAATTACAAATTGAAGAAATAAAAAAAGATGTCAAAGAAGCACAAAAAGAAAATGAGATTATCTTTGGTAAAATGTACAGTGACTCTGAAGATGAAAATATAAATGATTCTGATTTATCACCCCCAAGAATAAAACCAAGTGATAAAACAAACAATAATAAAAGTAAAAAGAAACAACAGAACATTAGTGAGAGTGATTTTAGCCCTCCAAGAAGAGTAAGGGAATCATCCTCAAGAAACATAAATAGAAATGAAAAGAACAGCGATTCTGATATTTCACCCCCTAGAAAAGAAGTGAGTAATAACAATAAAGAGATTAGAAGTAGGAAGCCATCAAGATGGGGTGAAGTAAGAGCACAATCAAAATCTCCATCACCTAAAACATCTAAACACAGACAACATCACAGAAGGAAATCCATATCTCCAAACTCAGATGTTTCCTCTTCTCAATATTCGAAATCAGAAAAACACAAGCATTCACGGCAAAAATCAAAGAAGGAATCACATGCCAGAAGTAGATCACCTAATGTTTCAAAAAGAAGGAAAAAGTCACCGGAACTGGAGTCTGATGAATATCAAAACAAAAATGTACAGCACAAATCAAGTCAAAGAAATCACCACAGAGATAGGGAAAACACCAGTCGTACAAAAAATTCTGATGACTCAGATTTATCTCCACCAAGAAAGAATAAAAGATTATCTGCGTCTCCTGCAAGAAAATCTAAGTCCAACTTTTTTGATAAGGGTATTAAAAGAAATAGAAATAGTAGTTCCGATATTTCACCACCCAGAAAAAGTAGCAGAAATAACCACGAAGGAGATAGAAATTATAGTAGAAGTAATAATAGTCCACCACCAACTAATAAGAAAATGGAAAAGACTCTGGATGGAAAGAAAGCAGGGTTGCAAGATGCAAGACAATTAAGAGATGAAAATGAAGCATTCAGGAGAAGGGAAGATGATGCATTTAACAAAATGGCTGATGAAGTCTCCGGAAGAAATGCTACAGCGGTGTCCAGGAAAGGTATAGTTAATTAAACTGCCTGGTCTCAACTGTTATGGAATAAGATTTACTTATGGTGTCATTTTGTAGTATTGTGATGTGTAAGTAACTTAAGTTATTTTATTTCAGCAACTAAAAGAGATACATCTGAAGAAAGAAGAAAACAAAAGGAAAAAGCAGAAAGACAAAAAGAATTGGATGAAAAGTACAAGAAATGGAGCAAAGGGTAAAGTTGTTATGCTAAAAAATCCACTTTATCCTTGGTACTGTGAAGTGGGATCCCATCTTTTATTCCATATTTCCATTATAGCATTATGAATGCAAAATTGATCAAATATAATAATAAGTTTTAATAGTTTAGTTAAAAGTTTGATATGCTACTCATAAGTTGAACCCAAATACCGATTTTTCACACTGGTTAAACAGTGGGCTACCTATACCTTGCTTGTACCTTGAGTGAGACCCATTTGTTGCAGTAAACTGAAAGTCATATTCTTCAATGTATGTGCCACTATCAACCATGTACACATATTAAATATAGAATGGCGCGGGAGGGTGGAAGTGCGATGTAGGTTGCGCAATGCTATATCGTAACTATAGATTATATCCGGCTGCATATTTGGTACATATTGTATAGAATTGTATAAAATTACATTATCTAAGCATTTAAGATATTCTATACATTATCGAGGTTTTATAAAATCTCGGACCTTTACCGCAGGGTAGGTCGACTGCGCTTTGACCATGCCACTCGGGACAAGTCCTAGTAGCGCCCGGTTTGAGGCTTTTACCCTATGTCAACAAAAAAAGTTTTCTATAGAATAGTAACATTTAAATATTATAATTCTCTCATATATTGCCCTAGCGTCAAATTCTGACATTAATGCATTAAATGTCCACTTCTCCGCGTCTGCTTCTATTGATGGAAGCATTAAAAGTCATACTTTAAATGGTCTTTCTTCACTGCCAAAACCATCTTTTACTCCCTTTGTCTTTAATCAATTTACTGAGTGTGACGTTGAGAAGAACATACTTGCTGTATCATCTAACGCTATTGGTAGCGATTGTATTAGTCGTAATATGATTGTTCCCCTTCTTGATATCCTTACTCCTGTTATCACCAAACTCCTTAACAAATCCATTTCTTCATCCATTTATCCTTCAGCGTGGAAGGAGGCTAATATTATCCCTGTGCCTAAGAAACCTAAGCCCGAATCTTTTTCTGATTATCGTCCTATTTCAATATTGCCTTTCCTATCCAAAATCCTTGAAAAACTAATCCATCAACAGTTTAGTCGATTTCTATCCTTGAACAACTTATTAAATCCACAACAATCAGGTTTTCGCCCTGGTCATAGTACGACTACTGTACTTGTCAAAACTGTGGATGATATCCGCGTAGGTATGGAAAATCAACAGATTACCATATTAACACTGTTAGATTTTAGTAATACCTTCGACACTGTTGATTTTGACTTTTGAATTTTATTTTTTGAGAATAAATTATGGAGCACTACCTCCAATCTTATTAAATGGCGTTCATATACCATTTCAGGATACTGTTAGGAATCTTGGTGTTATAATTGATAAAAACTTATTTTGGAGCCAACATGTAGGAGAGGTCAGTAGGAGGGTGTTTGGCGCGTACGGCTCAAACGTTTTAAGAATCTACTGCCGACTAAAACTAAAATTTCTCTTGCGCAGTCCCTTCTTCTCCCATTACTTGATTATGCTGATGTATGTTACTCTGACCTAAGTGTTGTCCTCCTGAATAAACTAGAGAGTCTCCAGAATTTATGTATACGTTTCATATTTGGTCTACGTAAGTATGACCATATCTCTGGATATCGTGCCCAACTTCAATGGCTACCTGTTTCTCGTAGAAGAGACTGTCACATCCTATTACTCCTTTACTCCATCTTGTTCCTCCGACGTGATCTGCGTTCTTCCGTCCCACTCCACTGATTTCTTAGCCCTTTTTTATTAAAGCTATTAAATTATGGAATTCTCTACCGGTAGAAATCAGACGTGCACAATCACGTGACTCTTTTACGAAACAGTTAAAAGAACATTTCCTCAAGCTGCATTTTTCCTCTTAAATTAAATTATATTGTCTTCTTTTTTTTATATGAGGTATGTAATATATGTATGAGTATATATATATATATATATATATATATATATATATATATATGTATATGTGTATTTCTGTTTTATAGTAATTATATAGTACATTTACATTTATCATAGATCAACCCACTACTCACTCGTTTCTTTAATTTGTATAATTTCCTTTAGTCAAGGGTAGCCTGGAAGAAATTGCTACCTTAGCAATAAGGCCGCCTTTTGTGTTTGGTTTTGATTGTAAATGTTTTGTATAACTGTATTTGTACGCAATAAAGTGTATTCATTCATTCATTCATATATTTCAGATTGAAACAAATTGAAGTCCAAGAAGCCCGAATGCATGATTACATGCATGAGGCGTCCAAGCCTCTTGCGAGACATAAAGATGATCGTGACTTGGAGAATTCATTAAAAAATGTGTTACGGGATGGAGATCCCATGCTACGGTACATTATGGATAAAAAACGAGAGAGAGGCGAGCTGGGACCAGGTATCACTGACAATATCCGTTTGTTTCTTCTGAAATATTACTATGAAAACAAAGAACTGTCTAGGCTCCAATGTTACACAAACTGCTACTTTGAAGTACACACTGTCTGTAACTCTTAACTTTTTTGTTCTCATTAAAGTAAGTTACTTTAACTCACTTTAATAAGAACAAAAAAGTTAAGAAAGTAAGTTACTTTAACTAAATTTAATACCATAGATGTTCAGTCAAATGATATAATTAGGGTGCCATGCTATTGAGACTGAGCCAACAGCAGTCCTCTATTTTCACATTACGATTTCTGCCCCATTCTATTTGTTAATGACTGAGAAAACGTCTCCGAAACTTTAAAATATAAATATGTACAGCATACTAGTTTGTATAATAGTTTTACTTAATTTCAAACCAAAGTATGTTGATAGTTGATGCTAAAATTGATTGCAGTCTGTCACTTTTTGCAAACCAGACAGTTCAATTACTTTAATATATCCTTACAGAGAAACCGATGTACAAAGGCAAATTCCCTCCCAACCGATTCAATATCCGCCCCGGATACCGCTGGGATGGGGTGGACAGGTCAAATGGTTATGAGAAAAAATTCTTTGAACAGCAAAGCAAAAGGAAGGCACAAGAAGAAGAAGCTTATAAGTGGAGCACAGAAGATTTGTAATTTGTTTTGTACATATATGATACTAAATAGACAAGGAAAAACATATGAATAATTGATCTCTAGTTTTATTCAGGAAATCTTAAAAACGACACTTTAGTATTTCACACGTTAGAGATCCAACAAGTGTGATATAGAACACAATAACTCTTTATTGCCAACACAACGATACATAAATATATACACTAATATTAATATTACAGTGTAACAATTAGCGGTCTTATCGCTTAGAGCGATCTCTACCAGACAACTTTTGGATGGAGAAAACTAAATGACAATCAGGAAATGAGGGTGCAAAATAAAATATTTATCTAGATATTAAATCATAAATATTTAATTATATTAAATAATAAGATATAAATACTATTAATACATAAATAATTTTATAAAAATTATATATACAACATATTACTGATAAAACTTTATTTACATAAATAGATAGAAATCATAATAAAAAAGTACATAAAATACCAGTGAAATTATGAACTTGTTGTAACAGCATAGTTATACAAGTTGTATAGTTATACCAAATTTTTAAATAAAAGGTCCTTACATATGAAATTGGCGTTTTGTCCTACTGGCCACTTTAATCACAAACTCCTCCTTGGTTGGGAATTCCAAATTCAAATTTATACAGCCAATTACACATCGACATTGGAAAGCAAACACGTAGTAACCCGCAAAACCAAAATTGATCTTCAGAGCAGAATATTTTTTATTTTTTTCGGTAAATAATTCCTATAAACGTCCATGGTACCAAATAAGGTTCCTTAGTAATTTATATAGAAAGAAGTTTTTTTTTTTTTTGGGAAATTATAAAGATTTTAATATCCATTTTGGTTTTACAGGTTACTACGTGTTTGCTTTCCAGCGTCGACATGTATTTGTGTTTCTGTATGTATTTGTCTAAGACATCCACCATACTCCCCGGACCTTGCTCCAACAATATACCATTTTTTTTTCGAAATTTGGACAACTTGCAAAGAAAAAAAATTCAACTCCAATGGGGCAGCGCAAAGATTTTATTGATTCCCGTCCGAATGGTTTTTTTAGTAAGGGGATCAATGAATCACCTATGAGATGGCAAAAGTGCATAGATAACAATGGTTTATACTTTGATTAAATAAATATATTATATTCAAAAATATTTGACTTTTTGTTCTTCCCATACCAAACACCAATTTCATATGTAAGGACCTAATATATTTATCGATTGTGCATGTCTTAATGAAGTCTGGAGAGCATTCCAGAGTCCCACAGCTTGGACACTGAAAGAACCATTGAAGGTAGTGCTATGTAGAGGCGTTTTCAGTTTCAGATTTTCTGATCTCAAACTACAGAAGGTAGAACAGTTTAAAGGAGTAAAGCGCTCTTTATCAAGTTAGACTAAAGTTTATCAAGTTGGTCTTCCGTAAGATCAAGATAACAGTGAAGTAGTGGAAGCACCAGAGTTTATGCTAGAGCAATTTTAGTGGTAGTCGGCAAAAAAATACGCAACCTCCTCACTGCTGCAGCGGAAGCATACAGTTTACGACTGACCGCCTTCACTTTAGACGGGAGATGCAGATCGGGATTTGGAGATCAGCCTGGAGCTACTTATGATAATAGTTTTAGTTTTAGTCGCATTCACAGCGAGACCAAACGATTTGCTCCATTCAACTACACGGCGTAAATCTATATTAGTAGTATGTACGGCTTCAACTAACTGAGACAGTGAAGCTTGGTAGTAGGTTTGAAGGTCGTCTTCGTATAGGTGGAAGAAGAAAGATTTTGAGAGTTCATGAACAATGCGAAAACCAGAGGGGGTAAGACGCCATCTTATGGAACAACAGCAAAGTCGTGTTACACAAAAAAGAAAAATTCTCCTCAACGCGTACTCGTTGTAAGCGTACGTGCAGTATTAATAGAATACATTAATGATAGCAAAATATCAAAATTTACCGTATTAAAAGCACTTCTGAAGATTAACAATGTTAGTATAATAAGAAGACCATTTTCCATCCCAAACCGAATATCACTACTGATTTTCATTAATGCGGTTTGTTGTACTATGGCCAGGACGGAAACCTGATTGAAAACGGTTAAAAGGACCGTGGCGGGAAAGGATCAATGGAGATCGGTCTAAAGCTAGAGACGGATTTATGTTGAGATTTTTAGGAAGAGGAATAAATTGAGCGTCTTTCCATGCGAAAATGAAAACGGCTTTAGCTATGGTATTATTGACAATAATAGAAAGGACAGGGAGTATGAAGTCGACTATAGGTACCTACTGTTACGACTGATTCCGTCGGTGTCAGCTGTATTAGAACTTATAGATTATATGCTTCTCTTAAATCGAATTTCGTGAACTGTGGAAATACAAAGAGTATTCAGGAGTTGATAGATTAGAGAGTTGTTGAATAGTTATATTTTTATCTTATTCGCTAAGATCAGATGACGAAGAGAAACCGGAATTGAAAGCATCAAATTTTAAATTACGAGGTACAGAATCTTGTCGTGATTTACCAATTCCTAATGACCTGAGAAACTTCCAGACTTTGGCTGGATCTTCCTCATCGATGGAATTATGAATGTGGCGACGGAAGGCATCCCTACACGCCTCATTGCAACGATTATGAGCCTTACCGTATTTTCCCTTTTTAGGAACCGTAAGATTGAAGGTGTGGTCCCTACTGTGGTGACGGAGACAACTGACCAGGGAAACTAAAGGATAATTGTCTCCCTCCGAGCTAGGTGTTGTTAGCCCGGGGACCGCGGTCCAACCGATGTAGGTTGGACGTTCTATTTATGTTAATTGGTAATTAAACTTATTCTGTGTGATGTAGGTTTCTTTGTTCTAAGTGTCTTGTAGTTATTAATTTATGCTGTTTGTATTGGTACAGCGCCATCTCGTTACTTGCTGTTGAGATTTATTGCAGTTCGTCTTGCTATCGATGGCTGTGACAATGCTAGTCTTCTCGCTATCGATTGTTGTGGCGATGTTACTGCGATGAATAAGATGTCGCTATGTATCAGTCGCCACAGTACTTTCCCCCTAGACCGAAGGTCGATCCATGTTGATAGTAGGTGGTATGCAGTCAGTGCTTCAGAGCTTGCAAGTGTGCCAGGTTGTGACGTCGGGACCGAAGCTGCTGGTGTGCAGGGCTGCCACGCCGGTGAGTTGTGTGTGAACTGAGGTCCGGTCGTGGGCTGCGAGGACCAGGTCGGAGTGATGCCGTCGTGTGGTGCCAAGAATCCAGGAAGCGCCGTTGATGCTGCTGTGATGGACCTTGGTGTTGGCTGGCTTGCTGCTGAAGTGGCTGTGCTGATGAGGGATGAGAAGCTGATGATGAAGGGTGAGAGGCTGTTGATGAAGAGTGATGGCTGCGTTGTGATGCTGAAGGTTGCTGATGTTCTGCTGGGGTCACCACTTTAGGAACCGTATGATTGAAGGTGTGGTCCCTACTGTGGTGACGGAGACAACTGACCAGGGAAACTAAAGGATAATTGTCTCCCTCCGAGCTAGGTGTTGTTAGCCCGGGGACCGCGGTCCAACCGATGTAGGTTGGACGTTCTATTTATGTTAATTGGTAATTAAACTTATTCTGTGTGATGTAGGTTTCTTTGTTCTAAGTGTCTTGTAGTTATTAATTTATGCTGTTTGTATTGGTACAGCGCCATCTCGTTACTTGCTGTTGAGATTTATTGCAGTTCGTCTTGCTATCGATGGCTGTGACAATGCTAGTCTTCTCGCTATCGATTGTTGTGGCGATGTTACTGCGATGAATAAGATGTCGCTATGTATCAGTCGCCACACCTTGTTGAGCTCAGTATATACTAAGAGTTTGTTTGTACCGAAACTATAGTACCTTTTTATTTATATTTTTTTATAATATTTAATACGCAATCTTTGTTATTTTTTTTTTCATCGATATAAATACAATCTCAAAATATTTAATATTTTGTTTTGTTATAAAATGAAATTTACTGATTCAATTTTGATAAACTTTTAATGGGACCATCTCAGTTAATCAAACGGTCGAATAACATAAGAATTTTGAAATTGGTTAACAATTCGCAGAAAAATTGGTGACTATACATAAAAAAAATATACTACCATCAAACATATAACCTCCTCCTTTTCAATTTTGAAATCGATTAAAAACCTAACAGACAGAGCGGAGAGCTTGATGTATCTGCACCATAATTTACCAAAGATTAATTATAAATATCTGTTTACGTATATGATATATTTGTTTCTGCATATTTTTTATTTTATTTCTGATTTTTATTATATTTTTATAGTTATTATACTCGTAATATATAAAACTTAAAGTAAATAAGACCGACTGAAACCATCGGCCGGAGGTTTTCTGTAGCTTATTAATTAAATGATAGGCGCCCAACTTCAATAGCATTTCTTGATTAAGCCGCTTTAGAGATAAGTATTATTTTTCATTTTTTTTTTAATTTTAGGCTGGTTTTATTTTTCTTTTTAAGTTTTATTTCATGCTTTTTAATGATATTGGTATTTTTTATATGATAGGTAACACTAAAATACTTTTCTGAAAACCACGTCAAAATCGGTTCAGCCAAATGCAAGATAATAGCGGACAATATTATACAATACAGAGTGCAAACCTCCATTTTTTGTCGTTTGATATAGGGGTAAGTGTTGTACCATTGGACGGCTTTACCTTTGGACACCATCGATATCTCGAATTCTGTAAATCGATTATTCAAGCACTGAACGCATCCTTAAAGCATTTTTGACATAGGGCAACACTGAGGTAACTGTAATTTTATTCGGCATAAGATTTCAGTTTGACGGGTTATTAAAAGTTTTCTACATAAAAAGTAAGTTTTTTTTACATTTTTTGAGTAAATTTTCTATGACTTAGTATTAATTGTAAGCGCTACTATGTTCACAAATTGGGAATTGGTTCTATGTCGTTGATTTTCATTAGATTTCATAAGTCTAATATAAATAGTTTTCAAAGCCGCGGCCGTTAATTTTTTTTTACTGAATTTCTACCTTTGGACATGGCGTTGTTTGTACCTTTGGACTGTCCAAATGTACAATGTTATTGTTATGCTG